ACATGCCAAACATAATAAAGTATGGACTTAAGGTTAAGGAAAATATAATAATGTAATTTATAGTGTGAACGACGTGAAAGCGTTACTAACAGGATTTATAATATAGCGGCTTACACAGCACATAAAGTAACTATAATAATGCAAGTGACACGAGGAAGTATTATATTTGAAAGGGCTGTGTTTTAGCACAAAGGTATTATTATTATCCGGACACCGTTAAGCTATTACTTGGAACAAGAGCCGTAGAACAATGGCACTGTGTCCAATTCGAGATATACCTTCATATTCACTCTATATTGGCTGACTAACTATTGTATCAATTCCCCATATATGTATCCATATATGCACTCGTAAGAATGTATCTGTCAGCGTTCTCTTCTCTTGATGCCAGACGTTTTCAAGGCGAATAGTACTGTAAGTTTTAATTGTGTAACTATATTATCCATGAAAGTTGTATGATTACATTACGCCATACGGTATTATATTATGTTTTATGTGTAATTCATAACGAATACCGTCGAATCTCTAAATGGATCTATTGCATAGCAATACCATTTGTCGCATAACTTTAGTTTTCCGAACTGTTTGAGATATGATGATGTACCATCGACAAGCTCGATATTTCGTTAAGTACTGATAAACGCGATAATATCTTTCTAAACTTCATTTAACTTTTATTTTTTATTTGACGAATGAATACTAGATATACGACGTCAGCTGTTTCTCTATATTCAAATAATAATTTAAAGAAATAAAGCGAAAGTGAAAGAAGAAACTATTTAGCAATTTTATTAACCCGTTTGGAACGGAAGCTTTCTAACAAAGTAACTTGTACATGACTACGCTTTCTAAAGGTTTTCAGGGCTGCTAAATTTGATTGCAACCTTAGAATTTTAAAACTCAACATAACGGACCAAATTTAAAATAATTAGTTCAATTATCGTGAAACGAGTTTTAGAGATTTTTGGGATTGTTAAACTCAAATGAAATATCAGAGTTTTCAAATTTTAAGGTTATATTGAGACGTCAAAAAATCCTTTACAACTGAATTTCAAAATAATTAGATTATTTTTTAAAAATTTAGTCCATCATATTTAATTTGTCACTATTTTAGATTTCAAAATTCTGAAGTTTTATTCAAATTCAGCAAACTTAAAAAAATTTCCCAATCTCTTGAGCTTCAAAATAATCCAATTATTTTAAAAAAATTCGATCTGCCATTATTTGGATCCGTCATTTTAAATTTTGTATTTTTTAAATCTCAAATTTGAATAAAGCATCAACAAATACTCTTATAGGTTAAGTTTCATGAAAATTAAGTGAGCAGTTTTAAAAATAAAATAGGTTGTTCTCTATAGAAGACGCTCGTCCGGAAAGGGTTTATGCGTTCGCAGTATAATGTATTTCAAATTAAAATGAAATAAAATATATGGATATGTATATTTTCCGCATTTTTGCATGTGCGCTCGAATAAAATTTAGGCGAATATGTAGATCGAAATGATTGCAGCATCACTGACAACTGCAATATTGTACAGGTTCATATATACATGTACATATAATATACTCGTTCATTGTATTTTTCTGTATACCTCTGTGTGTGTCACATGTACATATATTCTATTCTATATGTATATCTATCGTGCTTGTTTGTCTGATTCATATGCGCGGATATCGTATGAATACCGGGGGAATTCATTCGCGTATCGCTCTTTTCTTTCGACACATTAAACAGTTCTCGTACGTGTAACTCTTTCGATGTATAATATCAACAGATGTGTTTTAACGCGCTGGATCTATTTATAAGAAATAAAGCTTACGTTAACGTGTTAACAAATCGAAGAAAAATTAATTGTTTAATCATATATTTTCATTAGTACGAATACTTATTTTCTGATAAAAGCTTATAAAATACAACTAAATAAGCGTTCATAAAAAATGTGCTCGTTTTGTAATGTTACTGTATATTGACATCTATATTATATTGATTGAAACTTGATATGTCGCAATAAATATTTTACGAAATTGTATCGCGTAAGATACTTTCTTGAAGAAATACGATATATTTTCCATCTTGGTTAGTTAGTTAAGCTGCTAAAGCTTTGAATCAAATCTCGTAACGAAGCAAGAGAATTTAAGTTGGATCCTGAAACGAAATGTAGCGATTCTATAAACGACCGCTATGGAAATAAATATAAAGCTGTGTGGTACATAAATTCAAGTATGTATATCGCGAGCGTCGAAGAATACACTTTATGTGTGAAGATAATTCATTGGAATCTAAAAAAATATAATGAAATGTGAAATGTAAAAATATGCAAAATATAAAGTATACGTTATAAATTAATGTAAACACACACACATGCACACACACGCGCGCGCGCGCGATATGAAGTGCGTGTGTAAAAAATTTTATCATTATAACATTGCAAGCTAATTACGAGAACTGTAAATTGAGAAAAACTAGTTAGTGAAATTTATTGGTTAAGAAGAAGAAAATATCACTTGTTAAGAAACGCAGACACCGTAACGTCTCGTTAATTAAAGTTTATAATGTCGAACTCACGACTTTTGCGTTCTCTTTAGCTTTGGTTGTGAATAACTTTTGTCCTTTGTTATATAATTATGTATTTTCTCTTGCACATGCATGCTTATGAAGCCATGGAATATACAGCGCGTTTCATAATTCGTAATCTCAATTTTCATAATGCATTTTTTATAATACGACAAATCTGTAAATATTTTTTGAAACAAAAACCTATACTTTCAGAATTACAAATTATAAAAGGTGAAAAGTTTCTGATGAATTAAGTTTTAATTGAAAATTAAATAATAAAATCAATACAATATAATAATATAAAAAATCAATATAATATAGATGTCTTTTATTTGTTATTCAACGTTAAACCGATATTATAGAAACTTAATTGGAGAGGTAAGCCAAGAGATTTAATATTGAAAATTAAGAAATTCCAAAAAATAGCCATTTGCTAAACCAAAATTGGTTTAAAATTATTCAAAGAATGCGTTCAACAAATAAATTTTTTTCTGAATCATTCTGTATACGATCTTACGGATTTTATTTTGCCTTTATGCTTTCCTACTATTGTGTTTTGTCAGAAATTATTACAAGTACCCAATACAATAAAAAAATTACATTACATATCTTCTTTTCTCCTCTCTCTACTTCTTCCACATCTCTGCTATCCTTTTTCCATTTCCTCGATCAGAGAAATATAACTTTCTCGATCTATTATATAACTTTTATGACTCTCGATCGAAAATCGTCGATTCCGATTAGCTAGTTGTCGTGATTCCTGATCGATCTTCAAAGTAGCTACGCAACGAAAATAGCCGGAAATGTCATCGCCCAATCACAAGACGGAAGCCTCGCAATCTCGTTCTCATCAGATATAATGTTCCACTTGCTTCCGAAGTGCTAGAAGCTTAACGATCGGGATGCCGCAGTTTTCCGCACATGTATGACTGTTTACGAGGCGAAAAACAAGAACATTCCGATTGGGTGCCTTTTCGAGCATTGATCTCGTAGTTCTTAGATACACGATAAGTTTCTTCACACCATAGAATAAGATATTGATTTAAGCAAACCATACATAGATATATTGAATAAAATATTTTAAATTTAAAAGTCTTATCTCTTTAGTAGAGCATTTCATTATCATTAATAATTGTTGGAACTTTTATGGTAAAGGAGAAAAATAAATTTACACTGCCCGACAATGATTAGTTCCCATTCCCCTCGGAGTGCGGGGGAAACATAGGAGTTTATCCGTGGCGTCATCAGTCGGTAGCGGCCGACTGGTACGGACTTATCGACCTAATTATCGATCGCCAAAGTATACTATGGTGCATAATACCCAGTCTAGACCGGAGGATGATTCTACTTGTGGCTCGTCCGAGTGGATAGTTTGACAGGTTAAAATATTTTTTTTTTGATTGGATAAAAAAATTATTTGATACGGTTGATACGATTGGAAGTCAACATCAGTATAATTCAAACTGTACAGTGTACAACTGGGCAGTGTACAGCTGTCAAAATTAGAAATGTATTCTTAATTATTGGAATATACAATGTATAACGGACATTTTAGTAAATGTCGATAGAGTAGAATCGTGATAAAGTTTTGCTTCTATATTGTTAATTTTGTTCTATGCTCTTCTTCATGTGTGGTGCGTTTATCGCCTTCTTTTTTTTATGTGTGTTTTTTGTGGAGTTAACTCGTGCTGTGTATCTGGCAATAAAAACGCGTCGAATGTTTACAAGTTGATTCGCTCACTCCTTACTCGGGACACTGATTCTAATATTAATTAATTAATATATAACGTACAAAAATTATGATAAACTCGCGGAGTTGGAGCTAGAACGTAGTATTGCGTGCGACGACGAAATGATTGGTTTTGATTTCGCACGCAAATTCTCGCAGTCGTGTCCAATCTATGATCGCGGATATCGAGTTGCGACACATTCGTAATTTTGTCCAGTGCCACCAATTTATAAATGCAAGAAATTTTCTCAACATTGATAAACATATATTATATATTATAGTTTTTTGTGGAATCAAAAACGGAATCAGAAAGGGAATTTTTTTTTTAAATAGTAATACTTTTCTGTTTTACGATCAAATATTGTATATTATTGAATGATAGTATTTGCGATATTCATAGCCTTTTGTAAAACTAAGCTATTGATATCTACGGATGACATGGAGAAAAATTGTTATATTTTTTTATGTTAATAAAAAAATGTTATTTAGCTATTTTTATGCTTTGTGTAGATCAATTAAAAAGTCTACAATGTCTTTTTTAATTTTCAAAAAGTTAATTAAATTTATTTTAATTATAATATAAATTCTGAATAATAATTCGGAATTTAAATAATTTATAAATTAAGAAGAAACGAAAAAAATTAAATTGATTGCCAATCTGCAATCTAACTATATCAACTTTTTTACAAGAATTTAAGTGATTATGAAATCACAGGTGGATCGGGGGGAGAAGGAGGAAGGACAAGGAGAGGGTGGTCCGGTGCCGTCTTCAGCGGGTTACAGCGGTGCTTCCGGTTCGAGAATGGGCCCCGGACCCGATTCTGGCAGCAGCGCTCCCTCTTCGGTTCCCCAGTCGTTGGCTACCTCAAGGGACGACGAAGATGACGAGGATGATGACAGCAGTAGGCGGTCGAATGGCCACGGAGGATCGAGGTGAGTGATTCTCGACGCATCCTTGCATTACAATAATTTCACATCTGATTATCTTGCGACTTATTTCAATATTTATCACGCGCGACAAATGTAAATCGAAATCTCGCGCGATTATATTTTCAATCGTTTTTTAATAATTGTTAAAGTGGATTTCTATTTTACAGAGAATAAATGTGAGAAATTTTTTAGATTAAATTCTGATATTTCAAAGTTACTGCGTAGATTAAATTTATTGCGTTACAAGAAACAATGAAATAAACTAGTAATTGTTTGTTACTGCAATTTGTTATGAATGCTTTTCTCGCTCTTGTTACATCAGTTAACAATTAAACAGTAAACTTGTTAAATAGAAACTTACCTTGTGTAATGTGCGTAATTAAACTCGAAATTAAATTTTATACGACATGCAATTTTGTACGAGATCAGAGTTTATAGAACATTTTATTCAACAATAATCTTATCTTTTTTTACACGCAACTTTATTAGAATTGAATTTGTTGCACGATTTTATATATATAAAGCATATTTGCGGCATGGAGAATTTCAGTTATTAATCGCTTTCAATTGTGTTTAAATGTAATTGAGAGAAAAACGGAAATTTGCCTCGTATATGCATATTTTATTCAATATAACTATTTTATATTATATTTCTTAGGCTTGTTCAATTAATTAATTAATTTAATGCACAACTGGTTTAAACACATGGTAAATATGCATTTTAGATTACATTTCACCGATTTTGTCGCCGATTTAGATATGTTGTAAGGGAGGTTGTTCTAAGCAATTGTCCGCAAAAATCAAGTGGGAGACGGTATTGGTTCAGAAGATATAACAAATTGAAGTTTCACAATTTTAATGCTTCTTTAGGTGTTATAAACTGATATTACGAACAATGAAGTGAATAATCTGTTATTATTTGATTAAAAGAATCTGTTTACAACTTTCATGCGTGAGCGGAGCTCCTTCCTCTGCATCCCCTACCCCAAAAAAAAACTCTAACCTAACCCCGCCAATGTATTCCGTAAATATTTTTCACCAGAATGAGAAGGAATAAGGAAAAATAATGACGCTCACGATTTAAATCAACAGCTGCTTCACACCGTGGACATTTAATGGGTCCGTCAATAACTTTTCGATCAATAAGAAAATCTAATAACTTATTGCTATCTTCAAGAAAGCTTAGAAACTTGTGTGGTCGTATGTTGAAAGCTGTTAATGAACTGCGAGAAATAGATAAAGCCGACTGTTGACAAAATCTATGACCATGTAGCTATCCTTTAAAAAATGTAAACAAAAATTTTATATACCGTGTTTTTATACAAACACGGCGTATATAAACTTCACTATTCGTAATAGCAGTTTATAACATCAGAAAAAGAGCATTAAAATTGCGAAACTTTAATTTGTTATAACTCTTAAACCAATGCCGTTCCTCACTTGATTTTTGCGAGGAATTACTCAGAACAACCTTCCCTATAACATATTTAAATGGCGACAAAATCGGTGAGGTGTAACCTAGAATGCATATTTATCAAACACATTAATTAGCTGCATTGATGTAAGTAATCAACGAAGAACATTTTCATAATAGCATTAACATACATTTATAGAAAGATTTCGAAAAATGATACAAGCTGTTGCTCTTTTTTATGTGAAATTCGAGAGAAATGGTAAAGAAAAATTAACATATGCGTTTCTGTAAAGAATACATAATAGGATCATATATACTAAATTATTTAGATAACATTATAGATCATATAAAATGTTGCTTTACCATCTTTCTCTATTTTAACTTGAAATAATCGACGCTAATATAATAATCAGAAAATGTAGTAATATAAAATGTCAGTATTATGACTGTAGAATAGATTTGTGTGTATGTCTTTTCTTGATATAAGTTATATCGTATTTAATTTACACAAAATAATTCGCATAAGGTTGAGAGTACAAAAGAATTTTATTCGTCAAATTTTATCATACATGATTACTTTGAGTATAATATTTCAACAATTTTATTTTGGCCGAAACAATAATTAAAATAAATTGCCCGCGACAACATAAAATTTATAATCACATGTGTAATGATGCCTACACTTTGTACAGATTGAAATTCTTTGAAAATTTCATGCGGTACTTATTGTTAGTTTATACCCCCCGCAGTTAGTGAGAGTGCTCTAAGTAACGTTCGTAATTTTGCTTTCAACATGTGATTAATATTTAATACATTGCAGTAATCCATATGCGGAAGCATATAAACACAGGGAATTATTGGCAAATAGATTTTTCTTATAGACATGGCACGAAAAGAACACTGCGATGCTGCATTATTACTAAATTAACCGATAAAGCATACCTCAACACAAAGTAACATGATTAAAAATTACTTCTTCGTAAATTTAATTTTAATAAAAATTGAAAAATAATATTATTCACTAGTGCCATGAGCGTAACAAAGTTAATATCTTAACGCAGTTTACAAATTTAATGACTCTTGGATATTCACAATTAACATTCTTTCTTACTCTGCAGTTATGTGTGGGATTATACAGAGATCACAGCTGCGGATGTTTGATGTTATATAACGAAAAAATACTTTGCAGTTTTTTCTTTTACGTATAGTATTTATACACGTAGGATAATCAAAACAATTTGAAGTGTTTAACGAACTCCTAGTGTTTGATTTCATACTTAGATACTAAACACTTTAATTATAGATGTAACAGTATAAATGAAACGAAAGTTCGTATTCTCGACAAATTGTATTTGTCAAACAAAATATACAATTACTAATTTTCTCTCAAATTGCAACATTGTTATATACTCACGATATGATCCTGGAATTCTTGATTTAATACCATCTTTTTTTCCGATAAATTACAGCAACTCAAATCGCTTTCAGCTAATAGCAGTATGTTCTCATTATTCGATTTTCAATTGAAATACGTTTCGGTAACATGGCACGTCATATGCATCGAAAATGCATTTTCAATACGATGCAGCAAATTTCAAGCGGAATGATTCGCGATCGCAACGGATAGAACTTTAATCGGACGATGATGAATTTGTGAGTGAGAGTCTCGCTCTCGATTCGTTTTAGTATTTCAACATTCGTTACATTTCGCTCTACCACACACATACGCGCGCGCACACCGCGTATACATATATGACATTGCGTATAACGAATTCTCAATACGAAATCTTTACTATATATCTAGTGTACACTTCCCATTAGTCAAGTGCGTATCAGTAATTGCGACTTTTTGCTCTTTGTTATGTATAAGCGACACGTAAAATAATCATCTGCACTATCTGATATTTGATAAAAAATATATGAAAAAATTATTGAAACAGATAAGATTGGAGTAACGGTAAAATTTAGTCGTTTTGCAACTTCCCGAAGTATGCACGTGTGTCAAAATTTTCTTTCTTCTATAATATTATTTAAATTATATTCATTATATCATAATTGTAATTATATTTTGTTTTTTGACACGCAATCCAGTTACAATTGTGCCAGTAATTATGGAAATGGATTAAGTGAAAAAACCTTGAAAAATGAAATTTGTACTTGTATCACTTACTTTGTATTATATTGGTTTACATTATAATATTATAATATGCAGCAAATTTTTAAAAATAGTTGAAAATTGAACCGTTTAATAGCGTTGATATTTGTGTCGTTAAATAGAATTTAATTTATGTTTATTTTGACAGATGTCAAAGTCGCTTGCTTTTTGGTAAATTTCTGCTTCATGAAAAGGAAAATATTTATTCTTCCATTATGTTATTAGATAGCAGCTCAGATAAATAAATTTTATATAATAATATAAAATAATATTATGAATATTTCAAAACTTTTGAGATTTTAGAAATTGTAAATGCCATTATCAAAAAAGAAAAAGAAAAAGAAACAATATATTTCAGCTGGTTGAAGTTTGGAACGTTCCTGGAGCAATTTTTTAAAAATGATTTGTTGCTCTTCTTCTTCTGTACAGAGGAAGTTTTGAGACCCACAAACAAAATACAAAAGAGACCGATCCGATACACGCGTCGGAAGACACTCTTATACTCGAAAAACTTCCCTCAAAATCATTTTAAAAATTCTAGCTATGCTAAAAATGATTTGGTCGAATCGGTCTCTTTTGTATGTTTTGTATGGGTCCCAGAATTTCTTCTGTGCAGAAGGAGAAGAGCGACAAATAATTTTTAGCATGGCTAGAATTTTTTAAGTGATTTTGAGGGAAGTTTTTTTAGTATAAGGGTAGTATAAGGGTCTTCCAATGCGTGTATCAGATTGGTCTCTTTTATATTTTATTTGTGGGACTCAAAACTTTCTCTCTGCAAAAGGAGAAGAGCGACAAATTATTTTTAAAAAATCGCTCCAGGAACGTTCCAAACCTCAACCAACTTATATTTTAAAAATAAATACAATATATTTCAAAGTTCGTATATTAACAATAAATTGTGAAACGAGGATTTCGGGCCAACGCCGAATGTCAATACGCAAATAACAATCTTCTTAAATTCTCGCAAATAATTCTAATAAACGTTTCGGTCCTGTATTTGACCATCTTCAGTATAATATTTCATGAGAAAAGACTATTGTTCGAATTACATGTTATGATTTAGGTCAATAACTTTAAAATTGTGAAACCATGTAAGATGTTAATATAAGAATTAATTGTGTTAATTCGGCAGACGGTGAACTACTTAATTAGAATATTAATGAAAATTAATAAAACATAATTATAATTATAAAGTAAATTATGAGAGGGGTTCAATCGCCTACATTCCCATTTGCCAACAGCTTCGTTTGCCTACAACATTTTGCCGACAGCTTCAATTACCGACATTCCCGATTGCCTACAGAGTGATTGCCTACAAGCATTATTGCGCACATTTAAAAATTAAAAATACAAACGTACGTTTGCACACATAATATTATTGCGCACATACACATTGCACACATAATATTATTGCGCACATAAAATAAAAAAATC